GGCGTTGTACACATGCTCACCCAGCGCTCGGCAGGGGAGCGTGCCGCAGGGTGTTTACCGGCGTTGTACACATGCTCACCCAGCACTCGGCAGGGGAGCATGCGCAGGGTGTTTACTGGCGTTGTACACATGCTCACTTGAGGCGTTCTTCCCTTAACAGCCTAGCATTCCCAGAGGAATGTCATGTACCAGTTAAACTCTGGCATCGTGTCTTTTTTTTTGAGATGGAGTCTTGCTCTGTCACCCAGGCTGGAGTGCAGTGGCTCGATCTCGACTCACTGCAACCTCTGCCTCCTGGGTTCAAGCGATTCTTCTGCCTCAGCCTCATAAGTAGCTGGAATTATAGGGGCATGCTATCATGCCCGGCTAATTTTTGTGTTTTTAGAAGAGACGAGGTTTCACCATGTTGGTCAGGCTGGCCTCGAACTCCTGACCTCGTGATCTGCCTGCCTCAGCCTCCCAAAGTGCTGGGATTACAGGGGTGAGCCACCGAACCTGGCCCATGGTGCCTCTTAATGCGCATGCTTGAGCCCACTCTCCCAGCTCCCGAGATCTTATTGGGAAGCTGTTGCTCACCAGTTTCAGGTGTTTTCTATCTACCGGGAGACGGCCCTTCCTTGTTGCCGGTTGTGACCAATTACTACTTTAAGAAACAGTTAACAACTGCCTGACCATCACCTGATGGTCGCTTGACATTGCTGGTGTGTATCTGGGAGGGGCCCTCTCCTGCCCTGCTCATGTCTGACTAACTACCTGCTGTAACATAAGCTTGGGCTTTGGAGTCTGCATTCGAATCCCTGCTCTTCCCCTTAGGAGCTGTGAACTAGAATAAGCTGTCTAACGTTACCACCTATGACCTGGGATTAATTATGCCTGTTGCCACACTGCGACAAGAGAATGTGATATCATTACTGAATACATTTTTTAAAGGGTTCAAAATTCATAGTACTGGAAAGAAAATCAGTGATGTGAATGTTTCCAGGGCAGCGTCACCTCCCATGCTGTGGAGGTCCCTCTGGTGAGCCTGGCCTGTTGCTTCTTTTGCCTCAGCCCTTCCATATGGGGGCATCATGGAGCTGCCACTCACCAGCACCTTCCTGCTGTGGGTGGCCCCTCAGTGGAGCTGCTGAACCTGGCCAGGGTTTGATTCCTCTTGCTGCCAGTGTGAGCTAGATGGCTGGGATGACTGTGTCTCTCTTCCCCTGCCCCGCAGGGAGGCCTGCCTGCCGCAGAGCTCTTCCTCCCAGGTCCTGTAGTACCCTGATAGAGGGTATGGAGTGGGGCAGTGGGAACCAGAGCCACCAGAGGCAGGCCCTGGAGGAGGAAGGAAGCTGATTCATGTCTGAAACAATAGAACAAGGGCGCCAGAACCTGAGTTTCGGTGTTTAATAAAAAGCGCCCTGGTGTTGTGGTGGCTATGCCTCACGGGGTATGGTTGCTTGGAAATGCTCTGTGCAGTGGCCAGGATGTGTTAGGGGCCACGGATGACTGCTTGCTCCATCTTAGAACAGTTCCAAGTTTTCAAGTCAGCATTCATAGATGGAGCGAGATCCTGCCTCCCTGTTCTTCACCCCTGGCTTCTTCTCTGGTCTCTGAAGCCACACAGAATGTGTTTGCTTCTGTTTCCTGCCCTTCAGATGACAGAGCACCATGGACACTGCTGCTTCCTTTAACTCTCTTCTCCAGGGGAGTTGCCCTCGTCACTGTTGGGACCCACTAGTCCAAGTCCTGTCCCTGAAGAGCCTCTGCCCTTCGTGGATCCTGAGCTGAACTTGGTGTTCCCTTGGCTTCTGGCTCTGGGAGTGTGTTGCTCCTTCCATCGAGCTGCCTCTGCTCTGTTCAACAGATTGATCTTTGTAGTCTGTTTCTGTTTTAAGTGATTAACTCACATTCTTGGCTCTTATTGTATCTTGTCCTTTTGGGTATGAACTGTTATTTAAATCTGGACTGATTCCTGGCTGGGCACAGTGGCCCATGCCTGTAATCTCAGTGCTTTGGGAGGCCAAGGCAGGGGGATCCCTGGAGGCCAGGAATTCAAGGCCACCCTTGGCAACATAGTGAGTTCCTGCCTCTACAAAAAGTAAAAATTAGCTGAGCATGGTTGTATGAAGCTGTAGTTCTAGTTACTTGGGAGACTTGAGGTGGGAGGATTACCTGAGCCCAGGAGTTTGAGGTTATAGTGAGCTGTGATCATACCCCTGCATTCCAGCCTGGGCGACAAAGTAAGACCCTGTCTCTGGGGGAAAAAAAAACAAAAAATCATGTCTATACTTGAGAAGCTTTTTTCTCTCAAGTAGTTTGTACCTATAAAGTATTCCTTAGTTTTGGGCAGTCCTCTTGAGATTGTTTCGAGTCTTTATTCTGGCGACCAGTAAGTTGTATATATTTGTCTGCCAAGTGGATAAACATGGACTTTTTACCTTTAAGTAATGGCTAAAAGCACCAAACAGAGCAGGGCCTGGCATAGATGCTGCTCCTCCTGTTCCTAGGCTGTAATCACCCCGTTTCATCAGTCCCCAAACAATTCAGCTCCTCTCCGTCCTGTGCCCCACCACCCAATCTCCTGCAGGAAGATGTCTTAGCGACCCCCGTCAGCGCTAGGCAGAGATCACGGTACATGTCCACCTTTCCTCTGACGCAGGCTTCCACTAGCCCCTCTGGCTTGTGCCATGCCAACCACGAACTCACCCTTGTTTCTCACCTGAGCCCTCCCACAGGCCATCCCCTCCGCCCGGAATGCTCTTCCTTGGTACCTCCGTGACTCCCTCCCTCCCCTTGCCCTGTATCCTGACTCTCCCATAGCACCTCTCTCCCCGTATGTAACACATGTTCACAAGTTCATCTTCATCACCCATCTCCGGCAGCTCCTATAGGCTTGATGGCTGCTAAAGGCAGGGAAGTCAGTGGCTCAGATTCTTGCAAACTTAGTGATTAGTGATTTCTCAACTCCTTCCACATGCCTTCTCTTTCTCTATAGGCACATATTATTTCCGTTCTCTTTTTAGAACTAAGAAATGCTGGTTGAATTTCTGGATTATATTGTTTAAAGGGTTCTTTCTGTCTATGCAAAACAAAGAGGAGAATAAAAGGCTGATTAAGGCAGAATTAATATAACAATAATCATCTATTATGCTCTTTTTATACTCTCACAAGTGCTTTACATGAATTAATTCCCTTAATTACTAGTCAGCCATATGAAAGTTGACATTTTTATGAAGCCCATCTTACAGGTGGGTGAGTAGAGCCCGGGAGTGGCTTAAGTCACTTTTCCCAAACCAGTTAATGGGAGCCAGAGGCAGGACCTGAGCTCATGGGTGTGAGCTGCAGAGCTCATGCTCTGAATTGCACACAGCACTGGGCTGTGGCCAGAGACGCCCTGCGGGACCCTCTGGAGGAGGACCTCAGAGACGCCCTGCGGGACCCTCTGGAGGAGGGTCTGCCTGTGCTTCCCCCTTCCCACAGGAAGCTCCCCTTAGGCATCTGTGTTGGACGTAGACTCTCAGTGTATCCACACATCTCCCTATTGGCCAGCCACCAACACTGAATGGAAAACATGTTTCTGGGCGTTTTAATGTATGGCTTTGCCTTCAGTCAATCTCCCTGCCCCCTTCCACCCTTACCGCCTCCCTAATAGTTAGCACTGGGACTACAGTGTGGACGGCAGACTGATTTCTGTCTGAAGGGACAAATCAGGCATCTTTGCCCTCTTCCACCATTTATTCCCCGTCCTTAG